CCCAAAAATAAATAAATGACAACAAATAATTCAATAAAATGGAAGGATAACAAACTCTCATTATCTGAGTGAAAAGGCTCGATTTACATACTGACTTTTATGCCCGGCAACACTTTCATAATCAGATTTCACCAAAACAAAGATACAATAAATTATAGATAAATGAATAATGATAAGCTCTTCCGTTTCACATTTTTCTGATTTTCAAACATTTTTTAACATGTCTGCAGAGTGCAGCACGTCCTTCATGAGTTTTATTTTTAAATTTATTTATTTATTTTCAGATTTTTTGTAAATATTTGATTCTTTTAAAATATTTCCTCCAAGTTAAGAATTCATCTCCCTGATTTCAAACAATGGAAATTCTTTTGAAAATCATCAGAGCAGAACAGCTAGATCATACAAATCTGCATAAAAAACAGATTATTAGCATTAATTTAGATGAAGTCCGCCAGCAGAATTGATCACAAACAAAAATCCATCTTCATTCTCTTAATTTAAACATTACTCATCAGTATTTTATCAGTATTTCTTTTGTTATAATTTATTAATTATTTGTGTCAAATGATTTGACCAAGCTCCCACTAGAGGGCGCTGTCAGGTAACTGTAGCCTTCTGCAGAGCTTCTTAGCTTTAGTTTCACTTCAGATCAAATCAGCGTGTTTTAATTGCATCCATTTCACTTGCATAAGGAATAAAACTGTAACAGAGCGGAAAAGGCATCGCAGCAGAAAAAGACCTGATGAAGAAGAAGAGAAAACGCACAAATGTTGGGCCCTGATGAGCTCGCCACCCTCTGATGTGGTCGCCGGCCTCAGGGACCAAACTGTGACTCACAAAGTGAAGCAGGAGCTCCATTCAGCATGAAGACAGTAAAACATCCCAGCAGAAACAAACTGAACATGTTTCTACTCACAGCAGAGTCTCAGAGGTGAAGCTGTGAAGCTGTTCAGTGAAACGCTGCCCTCTGCTGCTCACAGGAGGAAACACAGCCTCTAGCTTCAGCCTCTCAGAGCTGCAGCAGAGCAGCTGACACAGGAATCTATCCAGAGCTGGGAAGTAACTAAGTACAAATACTTCAAGTATTTGTAGAATTTTCAGGTATCTGTACTTTAGCTGGGTAGTTTTTCTCTGACAACTTTTTATTTTTACTTCCTGCATTTTTTTGTAATGCGATGTTTATTTGTTTTTAGGACAAATGGAAACTGTCTTATACAGCAGCGGTCCCCAATCCCCGGGCCGCGGACCGGTACCGGCTCGCAGTTATTTCGTCACTGCGAGCCTTCAATCATCAAAGCGACTTCGGCATCTGGCTACTGCTGCAGGAGAGGAGTGAGCACAAAGGGAGTAACGTTTTCAAGTGTCAACAAACACCAGCAAACACACAAACTGTGTGCAGTTTGTCCCACAGTGAGCTGCAGCTAAAGTCCAGCTGCTTATTTGACAGGGACAGAAAAGACAGAGAGCTACGTTCACTCAGAGATGGAGACAGATAAGAACGGAGGAGAGGAAGCAGAGAGCTTAGAGTCACAGGAAGGATGCTCGTTTAAAGCTCACATGGAAGTGTTGTTAAATCTGTACGTGTCACATGATGTTTGTTCATAAAGCTGCTGCTAAACAGACTGACTGTTATTTAAAGGCTGCAGCTTAGTGCAGGATGAACAGGTGAGTCTGCTGCACAGTGATGGTTTAAAGTAAAGGCCAGTGTGTGACTGTCTAATATAAAGACAGCATACACAGCGTGGAGGATGAAACCAGCCAGGACAATTGAAACATCTGCTCACATCTGGTTGAATTCAGGTGCGAGCACACCTGTGTGTACAGCCTGCACTAAGAAAACTTAGCTCCACTGGAGCTCTCAGTAGATGATTGTGAGCTATGATTATTTTCCCACACTGAGACATTCGGCTGCTTTCAGGTTCCCCCACCTGCTGAATCCACTTTAACCTCTGACTGCTCACATTTTCCTGTTTGGAGTCAAAGTCACAGGCAACAGGAAAAGCTCATGTTCTACGTAACTGACTCAAGCTGAGCACATTTACATCTACTGATATTATTTTGTTGTTACATTAGGCTCAGGGTTCAGTTAGCTTTGCACAAAAATGGAAACCTTCTCCAAAGAGCTACTTTTACTTTCTTACTTTGAGTACATGTCAGAGCCGCCATCAGACCTCCACTCGGTGTGTGCAGGTCCTGTTCATGGTTCAGGTCAAAGAGACGTTTGCAGAATAAATATTGATAAATATTAATATTATTATTGGTTATTAGCTCTGTAGTTGATTCAGTTTTCTGTGTTTTCAAGGGAACAGGGGAACGTGAGCGCTGTGGTGCATACAGGGTGTCCCTCACGTCCACATCAGGCTCTGAGGCAGTCTCAGCGTCAGCTGTTTGTTACAGTATTCATCACTGTGAGATTCACGGTTTGGTGAATTTATCACTCACATATCTCGATTCCCTGCGTGGTTGTTGTATTGTGACACACACAGCTCTGAAATTCATATCTAATGAGATCGTCCGCAGTAATAACAGGTTCACCAACACTGCACAAACGGGGTGTGCTGTGGCTGAACTCTGACCCAGTCCTCACCCTGCACGTTCACAGCCCTCGCTAACAAACCACGGCGTACGGCCCACACCACCTGAGCACGCCCGAGCTCGCCGGATCTAAGCCGGGCCCGGTTACTACTTGGATGGGAAAACCTGGATTTTACTGAAACTGAGTTTCAGGTTTTCAGTCTCATTTCTGCGCAGATGCAGAGACGTTTGATCCTGAACTGATCTTCTCTGTGAACACACCTCTACAGGTCGTTTATTTGAACGTGTGCCGAGCTGCAGCTTTAATGTGACTGTATCAGCGTGTCGGGCTTTTTTTTTTTTTTTTTTTGGCAATTCTGATATATTTTATTAACAATCAACTTAACTTTGCTTTTTAGTTTCAAAGTAAAAATTTAAATCGTACATCTTTTAATCTGAAAGTCAAAGACTGGCCCCAAGGTGGCAGACTCTTCATCTGTGAGCAGCTGCTTTAAATGAACCCTTTAGAGTAAGAATATGACATCATCAGAAAGGGACACGAACCTGTCAGGGTTCAGTAACAATGACTGAGGGTTCAGAAAAAGGATATATTTTATTTATAAACATTGTATTTTATATGACCTACAGAAAAAGTTCAAAAAAAGCTTCAGAATAACCATGAGCATAAGAGCCCACAGGTTTTTCAAGATGGCTGCCAAGTGGTGAGCCTGGAGGTTTGATTCAGCAAGAAATCGATGAGGACAGAGTAAGATCTTATCCAATCACCAATCAAACACATTGACTGTCTTTAAAAACACAAATGGGTACACGGATTCTGCTGTGTGCTGACTGGCTGGAATGTCACTGTGACGTCATCTGTTTCTAAAACATTAAAACTGTCTCTGGCAACGCAGTGAAATGATTAGTTGATTGGCTCGTAGGAGGCTGAGGATGCTCCCTTGCTTTTACGGATGCAGAGCCAGATTCCACCAACCAGCAGGATGATCATGGGAATTCCCAGACCAATTGCCATGATGGCAACAACCAGAGGAGAGAAGGAGTCAACAGGCGGTGACCCAACACCCACCAGCAGTGTCCAGCTGAGGAAGCGTGTGACGTTGTAGAATGGTTCCCCCGCCAGGCCAAAGCTCACATTCAGTGCCATGCTCTTTGGATCTGAGAAGAAGCCTCGGATCAGACCGGACGAAGCCGTCACCATCGACCCACTCTGAGCCCGCGGCACCGAGTGACGGCATGGCGTGGCATCTTCCAGAGCCGGCCGTGCCTGACGGTACGCCACTGGCTTCCACAGTGCGTAACCCAGAACATCAGAACTGCCATTCACTGATGACACCCATTGAGAAACCTTGAATATCGATGGCGTATACTCATCGTCGATTGATTGGTAAACGTCGACTGTGCTTAAAGGATAAGCTTCCCCTACTGCATGCATCTCCAACAGGAACCTGGACTGAGTGGCTCGGGCCGGTATGCCATCCAACCACACCTCCAACTGGGAAGAGTTAACAGAGTGCAGGAGGTGCGGCCATGCCTCTCCCCGCCCCTCAGAGTCAAAAACCGACAGCTGAAGGCAGAGCGAACCATTGGTGAAGGAGGCATCGGTGCCACAGAGAAGCGCCATGGGTTCGGACAGGTTGATGGGGTTCCAGGTGAAGTTCTGCAGGTCGTATGGAGGGAAGAGGTCAGAGGTCGGCTCAGCCGTGTCGTTCACATCGTCATACTCCAACAGCCGGCTGAAGACGACAGCACTGCTGTACATCAAGCTGCTCTCTGGCTCCACTTTCAGGCTGCCGCTGGTGTTACGAGCCACAAACTCAGGCCAGTTCACCTGCACTTCAGAAGAAGTTGAGTTGGTGTGGATGAGCAGCAGCGTTGGCGCCCCCTGGCTACAGAACAGGAAATGCAGCGTGTCATTGTCTCCCACGGCTCTCACATGCAGCAGGTCACCAGCTCGAGGGGTTGAATGTGAGCTGGGGTATAACTGCATTGAAATCTGTCTGCGTCCGGGCTCCGCGGAGCACGTTACAGTGACGATCCACAGCACGAGAACCACGTACAGTCCGCCACTCCACGCACTCCCCGCTGCCATCGTCTCTGCTCGGTCTTTGATCACATGATCCGCTGGTTCCCTGAAGTCAGCTGACCTGGCTGCTCGTAGTGTCAGAAAGAAATCAGCCAACCAGAGCTGAGCTCAGACTAACCCAGTCATGGGCTGAACTGCGCAGGCAGCAGGTTTATCTCACAGCTTTAAGTTTGTCGATCCTGAGTCGAAACTCCGGCTTTTTTGTTCCAGTCAGAGTTTCAGCTCTGTGAAACTGACCAAAGGCTTATACTGCAGAGTTAACCCCGGGTTTTCTGCACTACGACCGTGGTTCACTTTTTATATATGAATTATACTTCTGCATCAGATCATTGTAACTTATGCCATTTTTTTTTTTTTTCGTGCGTGTCGGGCTTTAATAAACAGGGAAACCGGAGCGACGCACACGCGTGCGCAGTAACGGCGCCTTCATTAACGTCTGGACAGCTCTGAGGGATTTTTAGTCACAGACGCAAACTCTGCTTCTTGTTCACTCGGTTTTACACTTTCTGCATCTTCACCGGTTCAGAAGCTTCTTTCTGAAACACCAACAAAGATGTTTCTGTTTCAGTGCTCTGAAAGCTGCCGTGGTTGCTTCAGTGTCTGTGGCTGAATGATTGTGCGTCCTTTGTGTTGCTGAATCACCTGTGGGACAGCCTGCACAGTCAAAGCAGGACTCATGTAAAGAGTTGTGATGTGTGCATTTGCTCCTTAAACTGAACTAATGGGAAAGACTGAACTCCTGATAAACAGCAGCAGTCGCTGTTCACACCTGAGGCCGAGGTCAGTAAATAACCCGGCTGTCTGCCTATTTTCAGCCTCGTTTCTGTCGCACTTGTGTTTGTGTAACTGCTGGTTGTGCTATTTGATGCTGGAGTGAGTCCAACAGCCCTGAGGCTTAGAAACTGCTGGAAGGCTTTGCGTCTGTTATTATCAGTGAGGTATTTGAGGCTTTTTGATACCAGTGAGACTCGACGAGTTCTAGGAAGAGTGAACTCAGAGGCCACGCTAGTAAAAATATTCAGCAGAGTGATTTCAGCTGGTAAATACTCGTCTGCTGCTCTGCAGGGATCAACCACATCATGCCTGGCAGGAAATAAGGAACCAGAACCAGGTCTGCAGAACCAGCTCCAGTAGCTGATATCCGTTTCTATCACGAACCCATGTTGTTGCTGCTCGATGGGAGCCATATTTGTAGTTCCCCGTTGATTCTGTCTTCAGCTCTGCGTCCTCCATAGTTCTTACTCCAAACTTCCTCTGAAATAAGCTAAGCTGGTGCCACAACCACGGCTTCATTGATGTCTGTAGCATGAACATGAACACGAGTGAAAACGGAATAGAAACAAATGCATATTTTAAAGAATAAAGAAAAGTGGGCTGGACTGGAGCATCTTTCAGTCAACGATGAGTTCAATCTGAAGGCAGTTTGCTGCCTCAAAATATAAATCAAGTTACCTTTGTAGGTGCAGACGGAGGTGCTGCTCAACAAATCAGAGCATTATCTCGTCCCAGGATGGCTTACACCCCTACTCATCGTCTTCACCTCCTCATCACCTCTGTTCGTTCGTGCTGCAGACATCAGTCAGGAAGTTCATAACCTGTATCTGAGTTTAGAGAGGCATTTAGTCCCAGCTCAGCAAACAAACAGTTCTGTGAACTTTGGACAAACAGAGGCGGGAGTTCGCCGGACATGTGGCGCCTCCACCCAGACAGCTGGAGAAACAACAAGAGGAAGATGATTGTTTTCAGACGTGTCTTGATGCTCAATCATCCATCAAGACACGAAGTGCTCAGTAAATTCAATCTTAAATATGGTGTTCTAACTCGAGTTGGATGTTTTAATATTTTAACAATATTTTTATTCAGATGGTTCAGTTCATGGTGAACCATCACGCGAGGCTGAGGAATGAACAAATCGCCTTCACCTCCACAGGCCTCACACGGGATACTTTACTCTATGTTGGATGTTTTTGAGTTTTTGTAGTGGGTGACTGATGGTTCATGTGTTCCCGGTGATTGAATAAACTCTTTTTACTAAGTGTGTTTCAGCTGGGTGGCTGTGCTGCCCTTCCATCGAAGTATGTGCATTCATTATGTATGATTGTAGGTCTACCTTACAATATAAAGCACCTTGAGGTGACTGTTGTTGTGATTTGTTGCTGTATAAATTAAATTCTTTGGTTATCTTGGGTGGGGTACACTGAGGAGTTTGGTAGCTCGCTCCCGAGTTTGCGTTTAGTTTCCTCGAGCCCCGTGCGCCTCTGATAAAGTGAGGTTACTGTTGTTGGTGTTGTGTATCAGATTATTGGGAGATGCTCAAAGTAAACCAGTGACCTCTGCAGGGAACTGGGAGCAGGTTGAGATCCTTCATTAGTTATGGTCCTGAAGCAGGTGGGCCTTTGGTTGAGTTGGTGTAGAGGGTGTAGTTGTAGCCGTGCGCTGATGGTGTAGGACCACAGGGTACACGACTGTCTGTGGGGTGGAGACAAAGATCACTGGGTGTTGCTACTTTTGGTTTTTTTAACTGTCTTGTTGTGCTTCTGTGTGCAGGTCACATGTGGCTTTGGTGTGTTCGCTGTAGCACATTGGGATCCTCGTGCAGAGGCGTCATGTGACAGCATTTAGCTTTGCTGTAAGACGTCTGCTGGTTATACGTATCTGCTTTGCTCAACGGCATTTACAGAGTTGCCTTTTACTTCAACTGGTGATTTGGTCTGTTGGAGTTGTGTCGTTTGAGACTGGAAGAAAGCAGTTTCCACAGGTCTGGAATATCAAAGACCCGAGACTTCAGAGCGGCTCGTTCATTTGTTCAGGGCTCCTGGAGGAAGCCTGTTGAGGGGAACACTGCAACAGCTGTTATTTACATTCTCTGCAGTTGTTGCTTTTGTTGTTGAGAATTTTTATTGTAACTTTTGTATTATAGTGTCTCAACAGTACTTGTTTGTTTTAATTTCTTTACTTGTTTGTGAGCATTTTTATTTAAGATCCCCCCCCCCAAAAAAGATAATATTCATTTTCTATTTAATTATGAACTTTGTCCTATTTATGTCCTGGGGTTTAACTATTTAAAATAAAATGGATCACAAAAAACACTCAAGGTCATGGAAATTCATTGAGATTTGCAATTCAATGACGCATCCACCTTATTTATTTATTGAAAAGTATCTGCGATACTGGCCCGTATTTATTTGGTATCAGATCGACACCAAAAAATGCAGTATCGCACACCACTAGTATCCAGTTGTTAAACTGTTTGCTCACATGGAAACGAAACACTCTCAGTACCACAGCTGCATGTTTGTGGAAACCTTCAGTGAGGCCACACTGTGGTTTAAGCTAAGAGCTCTGGTAGAACAGAATAATCCTTTAATTGTCCCACAAGGGGAAATTTGGCTGGAACAGCAGCAGAATAAAAGCACATTTACACACAGAACAGAAACACAAACCATTTCTACAGAAAAAATATTTACATAGTTACAAAAACAGAGTACTGTACAGTTATTAAGATTAAAGTAAAGGTTTTTTCATATACTCTGAGAAAAATAATATGCAAGTTACAACAGTAGTAGTTGTTTCGTTGATTAGTGCAAATTACAGCGCTGATGTAAACATCTGTGTTTGTTGGGAGCAGTTCTGATTGTACAGTCTGACAGCTGCAGGGAGGAAGGACCTGCAGAAACGCTCCTTCATGCATCGAGAATGCAGCAGTCTGTCACTGAAGCAGCTCTGCAGCAACATCTACATGCATGGGCTGGGAGACTCTGTCCATCAGAGATGTTATTTTGGCCAGTCCTTCTGTCTCCCACCACCTGCACTGGGTCCAGGGTGCATTCCAGAACAGAGCTGGCGGATGCCACCACAGAGTCATAGAAGGTCTTTAAAAGCGCTCCCTGTACTCCAAATGACCTCAGCCGCCTCAGCAGGTAGAGTCTGCTCTGACCCTTCCTGTACAGAGCATCAGTGTTGTGGCTCCAGTCTAGCTTATTATTCAGGTGAACACCCAGGTACCTATAGGAGTCCACTATCTCAATGTCCACTCCCTGGATGTTCACCGGTGTCAGTGTGGTGGGTCAGCGTCTCCGGAAGTCCACCACCAGCTCCTTGGTTTTCCTGGTGTTGATCAGCAGGTGGTTCTGCTGACACCAGTCCACAAAGTCCAGAGTCCACTGTCTGCACTCTGAGTCGTCCTCACCTGTGATGAGGCGACTATGGCAGAGTCGTCAGAGAACTTCTGTAGGTGGCAGCGTGGGGAGTTGATGGAGAAGTCTGCGGTGTAGAGGGTGAAGAGGAACGGGGCCCCCGTACTGCAGACCAGCGTGTCAGACACAGCCCTGTGTCCTCACATACTGTGGGCGTCCTGTGAGGTAGTCCAGTATCCACTGGGACATGTGTTGGTCCCCTCCTGATAGCTCCAGCTTGTCCCTCAGAAGTCGTGGCTGGATGGTGTTGAAAGCACTGGAGAAATCAAAGAACATGATCCTCACAGAGCTTCCAGGCTTCTCCAGGTGAGTCAGAGCTCGGTGCAGGAGGTAGATGATGGCGTCCTCCACCCCGATGCCAGGCTGGTAAGCAAACTGCAGCGGATCCAATGAAGACCTCACCAGGGGGCGCAGATGGTTTAGAACCAACCTCTCGAGGGTCTTCATCAGACGTGCTGTCAGGGCTACCGGCCTGTAGCTGCTGAGGTCCTTGGGATGGGAGGTCTTTGGTACCGGTACCACACAGGAGGTCTTCCACAGCTGTGGTACTTTCCCCAGTGGGATGGTATGTGCGTTCCTTCTCAGGAAACACTGTCACCTGGTTACTAAAAGTGTAACGCCCTGCACACCTGTCGCTCCTGACAAATCACTGTTTTTTCCCAGGTAAGCTTAGCTGGAAATGAGTTCTTCAGTTAAATACAAACACAGCAGCTGTTCGGGTCTGATGGAGGATTCCAGCTGTGCAGCAGTCCTGGCTCTGCTTCACCCTGTTGTTGCATTCACGGACACTCAACACGGTCACGGTTATCGGCCTCGTCCCTGCGCACAGAGGTTCTGCTGATGATGTCGTGTTGTGTAGCTGATGAGATGTTCACAGTGAGGAACATGATTCAGTTTGTTGTTGACGCTCTGCCTCTCTGATACACTCTTTTGATACCCGATCATGTGACCTGTCAGCAGGTCACATGATCGGGCGTTAAACAGCAGAAACAGTTTCCTCCAGCTGTTTCTCTTTAGCACTGCTGACTTTTCCAGACTTTTTGCTTCCATCTCAACCTTTTAGAGACATTTTGATGTAATCAAACTGAAAAGTTCTTAAAATGTTTCTTAGTTTAAACGTTTGACATGTTTGCTGTTCTTTTGTTAATAAAACACATCTTCTGTTGTGTCGTGTGTTTGTTAAGAAACATAAATTAAGAACATTTTGATAATTGTTGCCATGTCGAGTTTTGGAACCTCAGCTCAGAGCGATCAGCAGAGACCGGCTCGGCTTCTCCTGCGGGGCGGGTCAGAGACGTCTCGGTGAGTGACGGCTGTCATCGTGTCATACAGTGAAAGTCAAGCATCACGCTGGGAGAAAGCCAGGAAGGGTCAGAGGTCAGCTCAGGGTGTAGAAGCAGGTTAGGTGACATTCACTGATGGCAGCGAACCGAGAGGGCAGTTTCACTGTGATTTTAATCCCCTCCCCTCGCTGTGTGAAACGGGCAGGTTTACAGTCCTGAGGAGGGCGTGATCGGCTCCGAGCCCTGGCGATGAAAGATGGGACGCTGCGAGCTGGGCGTGGGGTTTCACAAAGGAATGGGGAGGGGTGGTCATAAACACAGCGACAGTCAGAGTAATGAGCACGTTCAAAGGGCAGGAGATTAAAGTGTTCCAGCTCAGGATGTTTCCAAAGAAAAGTGATGACATTCAGCTGGCAAACACAGGCGATTGTGTGAGAGCAGAGAAAGTCTCCTCTGAGGAAGAGAGACGCTTTTTTTTCTTGTCCCGTTTGGTTCTTTAGCACACCTGTGTGACACCTGTGTGCCCCCTGTTTTCCCCCTGTTTTCCCCCTGGTTTCACACAGGTGTCACACAGGTGTCACCCAGGTGTCGAGGGTCACCCAGCACCCACGGAGCAGAAGCCAGAGTCAACCAAGCCGCAGGCCCATACCGTCCTCCTCCCGCTCATATAGTGTTGCTGCGTGTTGTTTGTGCAAGAGACAATCTTCTTATAACGGCCTGAAAACAGAGGGTTACATGAAGGATACTCACAGAGCAGCTTTAAATAAAGTAAAACATGTTGTTTTGGCTTTAATTAGAAATTATTGGTGTGTTTCTCTGAGTGAACGGCGTTCCTGAACGCCCACGTGTGTGTTTGCCCTCCTTTTACTCCCACGGCAGCGACCCTCGACCTGCTCGGACTCCACAGGTGTGTTCGCACCTGATAACCTCAGATCATTTCTCACAGAGCTCATCGACATGTCGGCCGTGTTTGGATTTCTCAATCCTCAACTGCCTCATGAAACAGTCAGCGATCAGCTCACTGCAAACCTGCGTTCATATCCCGAGTTCTCAGTACACAGCTCTCTGTGAGAGTACTCTGATTACTGCTGCTGAGGAAAGATAGAAAATAAAAAATATGATAACACATACAGAGGTGATGTCAGAGTCTGCCGGAGCGACTTGGAGAAGGTCCCGGGTGGATTTGGACTAACCTTTCCTAAATCCCTGCATAGATTTGATGTGACTGAATAAAGGATGTTAGGGTGTGTTCAGATTAAGAGCTTTAACCTTTAAAGGTTAAACGCGTGTTCGTTCTGACACCTTCAGAGGCTCGCATGATGAAAGTGGGACAATCTGTCCTGCAGGCAGCTCCTGAAGTATCCTGGAGAGGATACAGCTGGTTCAATGTTTTGGTTCCTGAACACGAGGTTGGGCTCACAGGCGGAGCTGCTTTCGGGTCCAGAGACCTTCTCCCCGACCTCCAGCTCGAGGATCTGGAGATGCCTCTGTGACCTCAGCCCACCGAGCCATGTTTAGAGCAAACTGTCACATTTTACAGCTTTCATTAAAAACATCCGAGCTCTGAACAGTTCCCTGGTTATCTGATGAATATCTGATGATTTGCACTGATTGTAACTTTGTAGATTCATGTTTTTGTTTGTGTTAAGCTGCTTCACTGTCATCGCTCCTCTGCAGGGTGCCTCCTTGGTCTAGCTTTGGCCCGTGTGTGCAGCAGGGAGCCTGATCACAGCCTGCTGTTGCTGTCGGGCTGTTCCTCGAGCTGTTACCACCCCCTCCGCACCCGTCATTCCTCAGGAGTCGCTGATGTTTACTGAGGCTTTGGCTGAAGCGTCGTCTGCTCATTAATCTCTCTCCTTTCAGGATGCAAAGGTCGTGCCGAGCCTGCAGGTGAAGCAGGGTTGATAAAAGCATCAGTGTGTTACAGGTTACATTTTTCCGTGACCCCCCCCCCATGCCTCGCCCAGCCTCACCTTCTGTTTGAGTGACAGCTCTTAGGCTGCAGGAGTTATAAAAAGGAGGAGAGCTCTGCAGCTCCTCACTCTGCTCTCTGTCGTCTTCAGCTACAGCAGGAACGCAGCATCGACCATGGCCTCCTTCACCCGCTCATACTCCCGCTCCGTCAGGTCCTCCGTGGGCAGCAGCGGCTCCATGAGGGCCAGCAGCGTGTACGGTGGAGCTGGAGGCTCCGAAGTCCGCATCTCCTCCTCCTCTGTGGGTGGAGGGCTCAATAGCAGCCTCGGCGGAGGACTCGGCGGAGGCTACTTGTCCTCCGTCAGCTACAACGGTTCTGGCATGGACGACAGCCTGATCGGCAACGAGAAGTTCACCATGCAGAACCTGAACGACCGTCTGGCCTCCTACCTGGAGAAGGTGCGCAAGCTGGAGAAGGCCAACGCCGAGCTGGAGCTGAAGATCAGGCAGTTTGTGGAGAACAAGGTCGGCCCCTCCACCCGGGACTACACCACCTTCTTCGTCACCATCAGCGACATCACTGCAAAGGTAAAGCTTCCTCACCCTCCCTCTGACAGCTGGTCCCACAGGTGCTCTCACCTGCGCTGCGTTTTTAACCCTCTGTTTATTTCATGTTTACGCTATTTTGAATGATGATGTCACTGCGAGCTTCGTCCTGTTCCTTTGAACGTCGTTCATCATGATCTGCAGGATCTGTTCCTCTGCAGAACTTTAGTTTTCTACACTCTCTCCAAGCTGTGACACAGAGCGCCCTCTACAGGCCATATCCAGGCTTTACTTCTCACTCATCTTCAGTTTGTTTCTCACAGAAACTCTTTGTTAATGTTTTTCCTCCGGACTCGCTGAGCGGTCGTTGGTCTTTAGATCTTTAACTTTCTGCTAACCTGTCCTTCAATGAAGTCATCAGCCCCCACGGTCACATTTTTTTAAATCTGAGGATTACGCTCGCAGGACGCTGCTTTTAGTTCATGAAGGGACAACAAAAGGCTTCATTCAGCTGTGCTGCACCTCACCCCGCATCCGAACAAAACCCAGAAAGAGCTGCAGACAAAGGTAGCAAATCTCCCGTTTAACTGGGGCGGTGCCTTCAGAAATCAGAGGACTGAAGGATGTCTGATCTAAAATTAGAAAAGAGAACATAAACCTACATGCTGTAGCTCAGTTAATACAAACTAAATGTAAAATAATGCATTTATACAACTGTCAAATGTAATCACGCAGGAAGTCTCCAACTGGGTGAACCAGCACACAGTCTGAGGAGGTTTTACTTTTCTGATCTGAACCTCAGTCATCTCTGACAATCTGGGTTTTCCTCACAAAGATGAATAAAGTCTGTTTTAATTAGAATAAATTTTTGGTTAATTAAAAGTTCTGAAATATCTGGAAAATGAAAAGTATCACTGCTCTGTCTGATTGGTTAGAACTGGCAGGGGGCGGGGCAGTAATCAGTAATCCTGTGGCCCCGCCCCCTGCTGACTTTCACTGGCAGCCAAGTATTTATCTTGATTAAGAAACATGACCTTGTGTTTCCTGTAGTACAAACACTCTTCAAAGTAAAAGACCTGCACTGCATCGGTAATTACAAAATAAAAGCACCTTAATGTGGATCAATAAAGTTTGATCTTCATCCATTACGATGTTTTTTGTCTCCAGATTCAGGAAGCCACCAAGAAAAACGGAGCCATTCACCTGAGCATCGACAATGCCCGGCTGGCTGCTGACGACTTCAGGACAAAGTGAGTCTGCAGGAACCCGCAGAGCGTGTTGCAGTTCCTCTGACGCCCAGCAGAGGCTGCTGCAGCCATCAGTCCACATGTCTGAGATCACGTGCTACTTAATGTTAGCACATAGCTTGGCATTATGTTATTCCTCCCCACTGTCGCCACGTGGTGCTAATATGAGATGTTTTGGGTTCTCGAGACAAAATGAGGCTTCAGGTGGAGACATCGACGGAGCATCGGTGACGTTCTGATAGAGTTGCCAACTGGGAAATTCCGTATAATCAGCAAATCTGGTTCATTCTATCTGCGATGTCACACAGTGCATATTTACACTCTGTTGTGTCCCTTATTTGATGGTTAAAAAATTGGCAGCCCTAGCTTCAGATGATGCTTGGAGTCTCCATCAGCAGCAGCAGATCAGAGCGGCGTGTCATGGTGAACATTTGAAATAAAGCATGCACAGGAGCAGGATCTCCTCTGATATGAGTGTCATTGTTAATACTCCTGTTACTGCAGGGGAAAAGGTCCAATGATATTAGGAAGTTTGAACAGCAGGTGGCGCCACAGCAGCTCAGATTGAATCACTGAGCCTCACCTGTGATCCATCCTCCTCATGCAGGTATGAGAATGAGCTGGCCATGCGGCAGTCGGTGGAGGCTGACATCAGCGGGCTCAAGAAAGTCCTGGATGACCTGACGCTGGCTAAGAGCGACCTGGAGATGCAGATCGAGGGCCTGAAGGAGGAGCTAATCTTCCTGAAGAAGAACCACGAGGAGGTGAGAGTCAAATCAGTGTTGTTGCCTGTGGAGTGTGGAGTCAGCTGCTTAAACACAGATTTTGTTCTTTTACTGTAAGAAAACTTGTTTTTAGCTGAACTTGAGTGTGTGTGTGTGTGTGTGTGTGTGTGTGTGTGTGTGTGTGTGTGTGTGTGTGTGTGTGTGTGTGTGCAGGAGCTGCTCGCCATGCGGAATCAGATGAGCGGTCAGGTGCATGTGGAGGTGGACGCCGGTCCACAGCAGGACCTCACAAAGGTCATGGCTGAGATCAGAGAGCACTACGAGGCCGTCACCGCCAAAAACCAGAGAGAGCTCGAGTCCTGGTTCCAGACCAAGGTACCTGCCACCATGACATCACTTCCTGTGACCGCAGACGTCTCCTGTGTATTAACCTGTGTGCGTGTTTCCTGCGCAGACTGAGACTCTGAACAAAGAGGTCATCACTCAAACCACCTCGCTGCAGACGTCCAGGTCAGAGGTCACGGAGGTGAAGCGCACGCTGCAGTCTCTGGAGATCGAGCTGCAGTCCATGTTGGGCATGGTGAGTGTCACATGACCTCCATTCTGCAGCTGGAGGAGCTTCAGGTTGTTCACTGTAAAAGAGAGAGGGGCGAGCTGTGAACAGAGGCGGGCGATAAACGTCCGATGAACTTCAGGCTGTTTCTAATCTTCTGTCTGAACACTGACGGGTCACATGAGCCGAGGTTTGAAGGCAGAGAGGAAGATCAATAAAAACTAGGTTTTAGGATAGGAACGGCTGAGATGAGTCAAATCTGAATAAGGGTCTGACTGCAGGTGTAGCTTTTGATCAGCTGACCTCACAAACGCTGCGTTCCTCTGCAGAAAGCGTCGCTGGAGGCCTCTCTGGCTGAGACGCAGAACCGCTACTCCATGCAGCTCTCCAGGTACCAGATGCAGGTGAGCTGCTGTTCATCCTGAGCTTGCGGGTTGTACCTGAGCACGCTGCTCTTCGGTCTCACCTGTGACTCTGTTGTCCTGCAGGTGATGTCGCTGGAGGAGCAGCTGACGCAGCTGAGGTCCGACCTGGAGCGGCAGGGGCAGGAGTACCGCATGCTGCTGGACATCAAGACCCGGCTGGAGATGGAGATCGCTGAGTACAGGAGGCTGCTGGACGGAGAAGCCACCAGCAGGTGAGACTCACGCTTCGATGAGTGAAGCTGAAGCTAATGGGTGACGCAGACGCTAACCTGTGCGCTGTTCTGATTTCTGATTGGTCTGCAGTGTCACCACCAAGTCCTCGAGCACCACGACCAAGCGGGTGGTGACGGTGGTCCAGGAGGTTGTTGACGGGAAGGTGGTGTCCTCCTCTTCCTCCACGTCCTCCTCTGTCCTAACCAGCTGAGCCGCTGCAGCCAATCGGCGTCTCCTCTCAGAGTGCTGACAATAAACCGAGAGTCTACATAAAAACTCAGAGTGTGTCTTTATTTCAGCGCCAGCACAGCAGACCTCCACCTCTTTAAGCTCAGAGAAGAAGAGCGCTCAGGTTTCCTCCAATCAGGGAGTCAGAAGCATCAGAGTAACCTGCAGCGTACCTGCAGTGCATTCTGGGTAAAGTGTGGGACAACTGAATATGTTTTTCCTTCTGGGTCAAATACATTTTTTAATAAGGTCATTTTTTATATGTAAAGCATTCGAGGTACAAAGTGGCTGAAAAACCTGAACTGAGAGTCAGGTGAGCCCAGCAGGTGTCAGTCTGAAGGATGGTGCTGCCCCCTGCTGGGCCTGCACAGTCATGTTGGCGTCACTGTTCTCGCCCTTCATTCGAACTTCTCCTCGGAGGGTTTTGGCAGCAGCTGCAGCGACTCTGCAGGCTGCTTCATGCCCCGCACCGCTGCAGCCTCGGTTTCCTCCCATCATGCCTCAGGGCGTCATTGCTCAGGTTGAGTTTAGTGGCTCTTATATAAATCAGAGCGTCAGGCAGCAAAAATATGATTGCATAAAAAATGCACAAATCAAACATCATTAGTTTGACCTGTTTTTATGCTTTTTTAATAAGTTTTTGTATTTGTTAGCGAAGTCCCAGCACAGCTGTACCTGCCACCGTCACGAGGATTACTGAAGCCAACGCTGGCTCGATGTCCACACTTTGTTAAGCAAAGCGCTTTATGGCTGTAGCTCAGGCGGTAGTGCAGGCCATCTACTGATCGGAAGGTTGGTGGTTCAATTCCTGGCTTCCATTAGACTGCATGCCAAATGTCCTTAGGCAAGATGCTAACCCCAAATTACTCTCCATACTCTGATGCATCCATCGGAGTATGAGTGTGTGTTAGTTAGAAAGCACTCAGAAAATGTGCTGGAGTGAATGGCTGAATGCACAAAGTGCTTTGAGTGCTCAGAAGAGTAGAAAAGCTCTACATCAGTGCATTTACCATAGGAAGTCATCATTTTTAAACATTTAATCAGACACTCGATTTAAAAGCCGTGAGAGGTGAACGATGAGCAGGTTTGCACTGTGTCGTCATGTTTTTGTGTTTCAACACAAGTTTTTCATAAATAAGTAAAAGTAGAAACACAAAATCTCCTGGACACAGTCGTCACGTTGGGACTCGTTTACAGTACTTATGAGGACCCGGCCTGTCCTGATAACCAGGACTTAAAACCCCAAAACAACTTCAACCTAACACTAGTTCTAAACATGAGCCTGAATCCAAATATTCGCCCTCTGGAAAAAAGACGGGTCTTTATTTTGGAGAAGTTCATTTCCCGGTTCTTCCCCTCCACTGTTGTGTGTGTCACTATTTAGAAGACGCTACACAAACAAAGGCGTTCTCACCCAATTTCCATGAAACTCGCACTTTATCAAAACGTGTCCTGACAACAACAGCGTGAGGAATCAGAAACCACCTCAGTGTCCAGGAAGTCTTATCCTGAAAACATGATAGAAATAGAAAAGTACCTTCAGCGACGACCTCTACATTTAACAAATGTTGTAACTTTATGTGATCATCACAACGTGTCCAACACATCGAGACTTTCTTAAAGTCTTTCCCAACCGTGTTCCTGCTTTGGCACGCTGGTTTCTCCCACATAAAAGCTCGACTTTAACATAAATAACATAAATTGAACACTGGTTTCAGTCACCCTCTGGCTCTGTGTGTGATTTTACTGCTTTCGCCGTTCTCACTGCATTTTAAAATGTTCCTCAAAGTTTTGGCTGTGAACTTGGTTCCCATAAAGGAGGATGCGAAAGAGCCCAACACAGAGTGACGCTGAGGTTTAATGGGCAGGTTCAAACATCTATCCAAGTCAACACACGTCAATAAAACTGCTCTAAAAATAGCGATAAACCGAGCGCCTGCTGTAGCTGCTGCTTGGCACTGAACACGTTTGCATCTCTAATCTGATGCTTGTGAACTCATAATGACAGTTTATGGGAGTCGGCCTGCAGCAGTGTGCTGACCTGTGCGGCACTAACACGACTTCAACACAGCGTGACAGTTACAGTGTCATTACCACTCCCACGCCGCAGGCCTGAATTTAAATGACTGCGAGCTCAATATAAACCTGCCTCCTGCCTCGGTGCAGCCGAGCGTGTTGCTAATTAGATCCAAATTAGCTGTGAGATGTTTCACAACTGTTCTTTCCTGTTGACTCGGTGAAAACTTGGCATCATATTCAAATCTCATCAGGACAAAAACATCTTTAATGACGTTTCTATTTCCAAATCAACACTTTCATTGTTTTGCAAACATTCAAATTAGAGGGAGCATTTTTGATTGGTTGGCCATTTTTATTTTATGAAAGAAGTCAAACTCTTCAACGATGCCAATGTCAGGTTTTTGTTTTAAAGAAACTGTTGCACTAAATTTGATCTTTGTCACGTTTTCAGTGGGAGAAACGTTTCGTCATCACCAGGTGACTTCTTCAGTCTCAGCTGACTGCAGGTTTCAACCTTATAAACAGGACATTTGCATAATGACTGGAACCAGCCCAGTGAAGGAACAATGGGCTGGGAGGTCAGCTCATTCACAGAGAGTTGGGGAATGGCTGCAATCACAGCATGTAAGATGGTGAGAGATGATTGAGCATGCATCAGGAGGTTTTAGTTTTGGCTCATGTGATTAGGTAGAGGATCAATAGGGGGTCCACGGCCCTCTTGGGGACACTCCCATAGGGCTTAAACTTTCCAGGGAAAGTTGAGTTTCATGTTCTCTACACCTGTTCCTCTCACTGTGGTTAATCTCATTGTTGGAGCTGATTATACAGAATCACCGGAGAATAACCTGAAGGCAGCAACGATAAACACCGATAGGTGGGAGAGCTAGGGTTGCCTGCTACCACAAACTGCCCTTGAGCAAGGAACTGAACTGAAAGTGGCAAACGTGGCTGACAGCCAGACTGAAGCAGTGCTGAGCCGAGCTCACGTGAAGCTGCACCATCAGTTTGGTTTCGCTGGTTTCCATATTTTTATCTGCTCCTCTCGTTCACACCAGCCTGAGGTCAGTTCTGCTGATGCTTCCCAGTTACTCGTCCAGCTCATCAATGCTTCACATGCAGCAAGTCTTCAGCCCACTTAGGCTCAGCTGTAGGCTCATGTCTGCTTTTGTTGTTGGAGAGATCATCTAAAAGGTAACAGTTTGTCACATTGTGTTTGATCAGCATGTCCCAACGTCAGCACACCAGTGACACCTCCTTGGTACTTCCCAACGGACCGACCTTTAACAGACGAACTCTAAGGCCAAACGGTGGTTTTGCCACTCTAAAGGTCGTCTACCTTTTTAATGCACACGTCGAGCCTGCAGCTGAACATGATCTTGAAGTGGCAGCTGGTCATCTGGTAATATGTTAAAACCTTAAAATGAGGCGAGCCAGTTAAGCTACATGAGACATTTCAAATTAAAATCACCTGAACTGATGGGAGTCGACTTGGACACTGATGCTCTTGTTCTGAAACAGCATCGTGTTGTCACCGAGCTGTGGACATGACCCGGGACCCGTCTCTGACCTGAACTCATTGTTGGAGCTGTTGGTTTGGTTCATCCTGAGACTGGTCTGTCTGTACATCTTTGTACTGTGTTTTACCAGGAAAGGTTGTGAGTCTGTTGGCTTTGTTCCCCCAGCAGACTGAACATGCTGCCGTGTTCAAAGAAGTGTGTGACAATTTCTTTTAAATTAAATTCAAATTAAACCTGAGTCGACATTTTGAAGTGGAAGATTACAAAACGAGACCTGGAGATTTGACTTTCAGCAGTAATAGTTCATAAATGGGCTCACACATGCCTGCAGGTTTGCATATACAGAAATATGAGCCTGTAAATCAGCCGTGGTGTTTTCAGCTGCAGGGCTCGGGCTGGTACATGTGGCAGCAGATCTTCAACTGCCAGCCACATCCACTTCTTGTCATTCCAAAGATCAGACCTCATTTTGCTGTCGGCCACTTTGAGTGAGTAATCGTTGCAGTCGAAGCGTTCCCCAGACTGACGCCTGAACACGAGCACCGTGCATGGACCGCACAGTGCAGCGATTCAGAGAGAAACATTATAAAAGAAAAAATAAAATCAAATATAAACAGACAACAAAGTGATCAGCGATGCGGTTACAGTGCCGTACCAAGCTCTGACGGGAAAGTGACTCGCTGTGTTGTCCAGCCACTTGATAAAATTCTTGGGTTTTGATCTCGGAGGTTTATTTGAAATGTGCTGGTTGTGTCTTTGTGGAGATTCAACCTGTTGACAAAG